CAACACCCCCCAAAAAAAAAATTTAGAGCTGCCAATGTAACTATGCACCTTATAATATGTAGTTATACGCTCTAAAATATATAGTTACACAATAAACTAGTATCCAACTATACATCCCGTTGTATGCAGCTAAACATTACGTACTCTATATTTTGGATTTAATAGTAAATAAAATTTAGATTTTGGGTTTACTGGAACATATAGATCGAGATGGACTTTTCGATAAATGAGAGTAAAACTTTGAGTTTATAAGCAAAAACCACTTATATAATTATTAAATAATATAGTTAGACTATCTTGTTTTTCTTTATTTTAATCTCACGTCACTTAGGATTTTATAACTTCTCTCCTCGCTATTGTATTTAAGCACTTAAATACAATGAATAATATAGTTGTTTTCTTCCCAAATGCCAATTCTTATCAATAATAATCAAGAGAGATGGTACAACTATATTATTCAACGAGATCAGAAGTACTGCTTGCTAGGTTTCTTTTGGGTAAATTTCACAAACCCCCTGACATTGGGGATTTCTAATAGAAACCTTTGGTCTTTCGGGTTTTTCTCATAATTGGCCAAAATTTTTGATTTTTTTCTTTCTTGATTTCCCACCTAATGACTTTAATGGCATTTCCATCCACCATCTTGATTGTATAGCTTGCTGGGCGAAGCGATATAGTGGCCAGAGGTGTCTTACAACCCCACAATTAAGACCGTGTCTATACAATTAACTTTATTTGATGAGTAACAAACATTCATATTGGTCTAATATATGTTTTAGCTATTGTATAGAAGTTATAAGAAGTTAGCTAGAATCAAGTTCAGAAGTATATAGAGCAAGACGATAAGTTAATCATAGCTAATTCTGGAAAAACAATTAAGAGTGAAAATCAATTTTAAGCATATTGGAGCGTACATCTCATTGTCATAAATCTACATGAATAAACAGAATTCAATTCAAACATGTATAGCTTGAGATATGAATGTTTTAGCAAAACAACGTCAAGCAGTCAGTAACAGACTGGAAATATACACTGAGACTGAAACTTGCATAGGTCATAACTTTTGATTAGGTTATTAGAATCACTATCATAACAGCTTTTGAAAAGCTCTCGACTTGATCTATAGACCATCAGTGGTCCTATCAAACATAGATGAGGCGAGAGTCTAGAGAGGTTCAGATCATCGATGGTTATAAGTTAACCATCGATGGTGACAACTTGAATACTGATGGTTAAATTCAACTATTGATGGCTGATAACTAGATTTGTGATTTTTGATCTATTTTGGACTCGATTTTAGCCGCTCATTGCTTGGGGCATATAAGCTCTCTCCTCATGATTTTTATAGAAGCTCCTAACCTAAATCACAGAGAAAAAGAAAGAGGAAGAGGAGGGGGGCGCACGCCAAAGTTTTCAATTTAGTGAAAGGATTTTGCTCAAACTTCTCAAAAAGCATCCTTGTCATCGTTCTTTATCAGCCAATCATCAACCTTGAGAAGTGCTTCTAATCATCACTGTTCTACTCAAAGTTTTGCTTCAATCATTAGCAGAATGGTTTTGCACAATCACAGTGCTATAACATCTTTTTGTATTGTGTTAATTATAACATCTTTTTGTATTGTGGTTAATTGATATTTAATACTTTATATAAACTTATTTTTACAGTGTACTCAAGTTGAAGTGAACTGAGGGTTTACGGTGTACTCAGGCTAGGTTGAAATGAAGAGTTGGTCACTAGATAGGGCTAGAGATGCTCATGTGTGAAGGGTTAGGTTAGACGAATAGTTTGGGAGAAATTAGTGTTATAAGCTTATTGAATCGAGTTTGTGATTTAGGAGAACTTTCGCATAGTGAGGGAGCCCCTTCGCGAGAAGGAAGAGTCTGATGAAAGATTGTTATCCAAACCATTATAAAGTTATTGTGTATTCTAGTTGTGATTATTTTTGTGATTTACATTGTCTACTATTTTTCAAAGTATCTATTTTTATTTTGCTGCATATTATGTGATATCTCAAATAATAGTAGATAACTCTATTCAGCCTCCCCCTTCTAGGCTTGCATCTTAGATCTAACAACCACAAGATTATCTATCTTATACATACTTTATTTTAATTTTACTTAATTAATTACCTAGAGCACAAGTATATCAAGGAGAGGGCACCACTAAAACTAAAAGGGCTAAATGTGTGAAATTGGCAATGTAGACTCCAAATTATACATGGACTCGACGGGGATAAAATTCAGACATTGTCACTGATTCCGTTGACATTGTTAAGAGGTTGCATGAGGACATATGAAGGTTTAGGGGGTTTCGTTAGATATTCTAAAGTCTAAGAGGTTTGGTAGATGAAAACAATTCAAGAGCGTTTGTGCGAAACGCCACAAACTTGAGGGGGATTTATGAAATTCATTGTTTCGTTGAAATTCTTAGTAATCCACTAGAAAAGAGAATTACGTACGAATAAAATCCTCTTCTAGATTTTCATGTTTGTCTTGATCTAGCGTTTTCTGAGGATATTAAGCCCAAACAAACGTAAGACTTTCGTTGACTCTTGAGATTTAAAATGGCACAAACAAATGTGAGATTGGAATTAGGTAAATTTGAGGTGCTAATTGCAAACCCCTCCTTGAGTTAGTTATAACCTGTTCACGTACGCGTGACAAGTGACAAGCTACTTTCAAGGGAATGATATATGTAATTAGTGGGTTGTCTTTGTTTCCTCCTAAGATTTGTGGAGACCAGTGTGAGTGCAGCCATAATTCCATATCCTTTTATTTCTTTCAACTTTTATTGTTTATCTGTGTATACTTCTTATGAATTTCTCTTACACATTTTAGGTTGTAATTTTCAGGGTCAATTGTGAATAAACCCCCTGTAGTATCTTAAAATTGTGAATAGGCTTCTTGTAGTTCTATTTGTGTGGATATCACGTAATATTGGCACAAGTGCAAATATAGCTTCTTAGCGAACTTTTTCTACTCTTTTATGGTAAAAAAAGTAACAATTGGAAATTATCGTCTAAGGAGTTTATCTGCAATTAGCCCTAATTTTAAATAGCTCTGTTCTTGAGATTATCCATGAAAAAATATGTCATGAAATTAAAATGATTATATGTAGGTAATATTATTGAGATTGCAGAACTAAAGCACAAAGAAGGGATTTTTCTATAAGGGCCAATTAAGCACCTGATAGAGTGAGAGACAGAGAGAAGCTGACTCCTATATTTGCCGCTTATTTTTTCCTTTTCTCTCCATTATCAGGTGCTTATGGCCGCATCCATTAAATCCATTAGAATATTGGCATCATCGAAAGAGTATTTCATGGTCTCAAGTTTGTCTTTTCTAAAATTTAATTTTGTGAGATATCCGAGATAGTGCATTGGGGGTGCCTCTTAGCCACGTTCGGAGGTTTGATACTTATGGTCTGAATGATCATGAAGAAGTTCTCTTGTCAAACCAAAAGAAAGAGTACTTAGAAAATTTGAATTTTGATTCCTCTTCATTGTTTGTATGTAGTGGAAAGACTGTTGATATTATTACAATGATCTACTATTTAGTTGACAATTGTGTATTGTTTTTAGGTGCTGTTTGTTTGCCCAAAAAAAAAAAAGAAAATGGTGGATTTGAAAACTGCTTTCAGTGCCACATAGGATTTAGGTTTCGACACATTTCTAATTCTCCTGTTTGGTTCTTTTGTTGATTTAAAAAAAAGGGGGGGG